GCTTCAGGGTTTTCCTCACAAACAAATCTAAATGGCAATGTTCAAAGTACAGTCAACCTTGTTTACGGTATATTATGCAGCTACCAGGATAACACAATGCATATTTTAATCTGGATGACCTTGACATAACTTTCTTAATAATGTATCACATACAATGTACTGGGTTATTCTATTCATGGTGTTTGGCAACAGTCCCAAAAATTTCAGGAGTAAAACAATACAAGAATGTAGATCAGGTAGAGTAATAAAAGAACGGAACAGTCTTCATAAGAAAAGCATGATTAGACAAAATGGAGATTTCCTATTTGGCTGTGTCACTATCCTCTCTCCATCTGTACACATGGCCCCTCCCACATTCTGTTTTATGGCTTATGACTGTTTGATGGTCCTGGCACCCTGGCTTAATCACTGACTAACTGTCAAATGAAACTCTACATTTCTCAACAGAGGTTCTGCAGTCAAGGCCAATCTGGTCAATGTTGTTTAAATAGAAACACGGTGAAATTTGTTTTTAGCTTAACCACAAGTCAGGCACAGAAAAACCTCTGTGGTTGAATGCATATCCCATTATCATCCCATTATTAAGTTCTGAGTGAGATGTCATTAACAAAATGTTTGTGTCCCAAAAAATTTTACAATATGGGTCAGAGTAAACGTGTTGGTAAAATACATAATGTAAAATGTATTACACAAACTTTAACTCAACACTGAGCCTGCAAAAATCAACATATTTCAATACATGCAATCACACTGTTCTCCATGGCACTTCTCCCTTCAAGGAGTTATATTGCTCTTCTTATGTTACCACAGCTCTGTCAGTTTGATTCCTCATAAAGCTGCTCAGGTGCACTGTGCTTTTAAATCTGCCCATGAAGGATAGCTGTGCAGATGGGTTTATCTCAGTAATATGACGTGATGTTTTATGATGGAATCTCAGAGGCCAGCCATGTGAAGCCAGTGTAAAATCTTCTTCCTTTGTGTGCTTAACCTCTAAGGTCAGTGCATTGTGTTTAGCCTCTTGTTTTGAAGTTTGTCCCCAGCAACATGGACAATACTCTTTTTGTTGCCCTTTAGTCATTAGTTTGAGAGTGTCCTTCATCAAACTGTTTGGCTGTTATGTTGAGCTTGATTGTTCCATGATTTGGCATGAGGTAATGTTCACGTTCAAAGTTCAAAGCCTTTATTGTCATATGCACAACAGAAACAAGTTTCCATGTGCAACAAAGTTCTTTCTTTGCCTCTCTGCTATGAATGATAATATGAAAATATGAATAATAAAGTTAACTAATACCGATAATAGCAGTAGTGGTGATAGAAGATAGATACACATTGGCGTACCTCTGAATGTGCAATGTCAGTACCAAATGTGCAGACACTAGTTCCAGTGACTGTTGGATGTGCAGTAGTATATAACACTGGTAGAGATATGTATATGGGAAGCACCTCACTGTAATGGAAGAGTTTGCAATATCAGTATCAATGTGATACATTAGTAGTGATAGAAAATATATACCGGAATGCATCAGTGTAATGCATTCCTCTCATTATATTTATCAAGACCAAATAAACATCTGCGGATGGAGACCTAACCTGATTTCTAACTGATTTCAAATAGACAAGTTAACAGTATGGTATTCAACACACACTATGGCCTATCCATCACATATCCTGAATATTCTCAACTGTTTCAATGAGAGAAAACCAGTGTTCCTTATTTTGTCCTTACAGATTAATAGTAATAATAATAAAATTTGTAAAATGGGAGTGGCAATGTTCTACATATTTTTATTGTCAACAAATCCAACTATTGTGTGCATAGCCAAAGTCTGATATAACTATCTTTGTGTCATAAACCTCAGTAGTTTTCCAAAACTATTAAAAAGACATTAAAGGGTCATAGTGTTGAACTCAGTAACATGTACCTTCATTACAATGAACAGTGGCACCATAGTTTATCAATTACACATTATACAATTGTACTGCAGTAAAAGCCCCTCTAGTTAACTTTCACCCTCAAACTCTTGACCATTAGAGAATGAGTGAGAATCAAAACGAACTCAGGCAGTAACCCCCTCCTCTGTTCCCCTCTGTTCCTCTTTACCCCTCCTGCCCTGTCTGTAAAACTAGGTCATATCTGGTAACAACAGCCGGTGACAGACTTGGCAGTCAGGCAACTTAGCGATATGGTTAACGCACAGAGAATATAGCCCATAGAGTCCATGGGTTTTCAGTGGCATTGCAGCGACAAGGGTTGTTTTCCTACCTGAAGCAGTAACACAAGTAAATTATACAGAGCAATGTTTCTAATGTTGATATAGTACTAATGTTCCACCCACTAACGCATCATGTTCAGTGTTACATACTTGGCACATATAATGTTATAAGGTAGCCATGAGTTATATGTGAAACAAGAGAAATTACATTATGGTTTGATAGTTGAACAAGCTCCCCACTTATCTAGTTGTGTTGTTTGCATACATTTGAACAACTTCTTACTAAAATGCTTAATGGACTGCAGTGTTAGGTCTGATATAAACTAACCATATGGCCTGGACTGAGACTGAGCAAAAATGAGCAAACTGAGCAAAATTAATTCATTTGCTAATCCAGGAAAACATGCTGTTTTCCACTAACTGGACAACAAAACACTAATGCTGCAGTCAGTTGGAATAATTGCAAATTAGAACCAGAATAATTCAATTCATGCAGCTTTAGCATTGTTTACTCCTGATTAAATAATGTTTGCAAAAAAGTGTTTGCTAAAAAAAAAACTTACCTGCTGTTTTTGAAAATTGTAATGTTAAAAAAAATGTATGTCCTGCATTTAAAGGTTTACATAATTAATAGGAACAAGTGATCTTAGTTGCCACTCACAAATCAGAAGTACTGAGAGATTGAATTTGTTGCTAAAAAGAAAAATATTAAATATTGCCTTCCATGCCCTTTAACAGGACACACTTGGATTCTTTGTACCTGACAAAACATGAACAACTTTGGGACTACTTGAACCTTAATCATTACCCCACCACCCGCCCCAGTAGCGCTCTTCAGCCCATCTCTACATGTTGACTGATGCCAGGCCCCTCTCTGCAACCCCACAGTTACTTGCCATGCTCACTCCCTTTCTGTTTTTCAACAGTTTTAGGTGAAAGTTCAATAACTGCTGTGTCAAAAAGAACTTGTGTGGGGGTGGGGCACAACTATCTGGTGAACTGTGAACTCTGCAGAAACAAGGTGCCAGCCAAAACCGCAGCGCAAAACAGTTCTCACGTGTCCTTTTAATGACCACTGTAATCACTACTGGCCAACATTTCCACAGCTTTACTGTTTTTTTTTCCAAATATCAGCACAACACTTTTAGGTTCAGTTTAAGACTGTGTAGCTGCACAGCTATAAACACTTGTCAGTGGGAGCAGAAGGTTAATGGCCTTACTACTACAAACTATCTCAGGGGTTCTGAGCTGCAAAACATCTGGTAAACACAGATCAAACTGGCTACACTGTTCACGCTGGTGCTGTCAAAGATAAAGACAGTCTGTGATTTAAACTGTATGTAAACCAAAGGATTTCCCCAAAACCCAGGGCTTCTCTGAACATTTAGTTGTCTATGAAAGATGCCAGCTGCCACCCTGAGGGGTCTATATTTGGAACAGTTTATGAAATTTAGAATTAAAAAAAGAGGATGAAAAGCAGAAGACGACAGCAGAAATATGATTAATAAGCAAATAAGTGAGTATTTTCATTTCAATGCAGTTTTGAAAATAAATGAATGTAATGAGCACAATTAATTAGAAATATTATGTCAGGTAGGTGTTCAATAGCTGCATGTCCATATAATGCAAACTGCTATGGGTTATCATCAGGAAATTGTGGATTTCGGCTTTATCCTGCCATCAGTACAGAACCTCCACATACACAGATACCACAGTATTTCAAGTGTGCAAACAGAGCTGTGTATAATCTCCAACTCTGAGCAGTCATGAACATACTGCAAATAGTGTGCAACACTGCCACCCTCTGTTCTAAATTGGATTTAGACCTGGATGCTCACAGCCACACTGAAGGTCATGCTGCAGTTATATCCATAACTAACAAATTAAGGTTAACACACATATCTTTGTCCCATCCAAAAATTAGATTGAGTCTTATTTTTTCAACAATTATGACTTTCAGACAAAGCCAAGTGAAATAAAGTGAAAGAAAGTAAGAGTCCCCTTATGTTCACTAATGCCTTGCATGCACATAAGACATGATAGGCTAATTCTGAATAAAGCATGTTTTTAAAATAAGTGACTTAGTATTTTCCTCAATATATAAGGAAAGCTATCTAAGTTTTATTCAGTACAAGCAATCCTCACAGCCTAGGCTACAAATATTTGGTAACAAGAGCAGGATACAGAAAAAAAACACTTGTATGGGAGAAACAGAAAGGAAGAAAGCATTATTACCTGGTTGAGATTAGGACACATGGGCTTAAATAACACTCTGAAGCTTATCAATAAACACCCAACAGGCAATTGTGAACAGTGTCAATACTACATGTATTATTTCATTGTAGTAGATGCACAGAGGAGAGAATGATAGCGAAGACAAAATGTGTAGAAAAGAAAATAAACTGGGCATCAGGGAACTACTGGCAACAATGGCAGGAGCAGCAGTTTTGCTAGATTTCTTAGAAAGGACAGGAATGATTGATAGAATATAAAAGACAAGGTGCGGCTTGATCCATATCCACCATAGAAGTAAGCATCTATTATGTAAAATGTCGACCTCATAGTAGGGGGGCCAATGTAACAATACCTGGATGCCCCCCCAAAAAAATATAAATAAAACTGAAGAAGAGGGCGAAAATCCTGAGAAACTGGCATTTTGTTACAGTAATAGGTAAGGGCCGTTCTGATCCACACTCCAGTCTAGAACGTGGCGTTAATGCACCTGAAACTGTTTGCCAACCACCATTAAATGACAGAAGAAGAAGAAGAAGAAGAAGAAGAAGAAGAAGAAGACTGAGAAACCGGAAACAGTTGTGCGTTAGTTCCGGTGGCAAAGAGTAAAGATGTCGCCGCACTCATTAAAATTTGTCGACACTAAAAACAAGTTTTCGGTGAGAACTCTCTGAAAAGACTTACATATTAAAACTCCTGTTAATATATTGCATGCCGTGATTAAAATCATAGCTAGATAACAGGGTTGTTACTGCGTGCTACTGCTTGTCGTTCTGTTATCATAGCAGGTAGCAAATGCTAGCTAAGCTAACATACACGCTATGTATCGAACAATATTCTCTTATAAATGCTCTCTTTCACACGCCCCCAGGCTTCTATCACATCTGCCCTGGCCGATAAAAACAGCAAATCTTTGATAAATACTTTCAGCCAGATCATCGGCAAGTAAGTAATGTTACTTTGTAGATAGAACTTGTGAATTCTCTCCAGTAACTTTAGTTTAGTCTATGTAAGTCGTGTATGTTTAGTCATTTGTTTTCCTCCCCGTGTTACAGTGAGGCGGAAAAGAAGACCACACTTGACCAGGCCCTCAGGGGTGTTCTTGGTGATCAGATTGTATGAAAATGCGTGGTTTTATTTTAATTCAGTAAACCTCATTATATTATCAGACTACAGATCGAACACGAAATCCTGAATTAAGTGTTTTTGTGTTCAGGTTGAAAAGAAGGCAGGCTGTGATGATTACCTGTCTCTCATCTACCTGAGCATTGATGCTGTTACAGAAGGTATATTACTAAACCATCTGATGTAAAAGTGCCATGTAATATGGCTGAAGTCTTTTGTGTGTGTTGTCATAATGTTACCCATCTCATAGAGTAATACACTGTTCAGCCATAACATTATGACCACTGACATGTGAAGTGATTAACACTGATTATCTCATTACAATGGCACCTGTCAGTGTGTGGAATATGTTAGGCAGCTAGTGAACATTCAGTCCTCAAAGTCGGCGTTCTAAACAAAAAAAGATTGTTTTCCATTTCACATTTATCAATGAGGCCTGTCATTTACCACTACAGTCAATGTCAAAATGTCACTAATACAACCCCCAAATTTGGTCAAAGTGTTTGTTATTGACCTTTGGTGAAGTGTTTGTTTTTGACCAATTTGATTAAACTGGAACAGGTAAAAGCAGCAAAGCCTCTTACAGCACCCAGAGCTTAAGACTCCAGGTGATCACATTGTTGTTGTCCCGGTGTCACCTCTCCATGTAGGTATCTCCTCTGCCACAACCCCCTTTGTTCTGCTGGGAGATGTATTGGACTGCCTTCCTCTTGACCAGTGTGACAAAATATTCTCCTTTGTTGAAGAAAATGTCTCCACCTGGAAGTCGGTAAACAAACTATAATCTCTTTGTAAAGGAGGTTCAAGATTTGTCTGGTGTAATCCAAATAATTGTATTACTGTTTTTCTTTATTCATAGAACTCATTTTACACTGCTGGGAAGAACTACTTGTTAAGGATGTGTAATGGTAAAAAATAATGTTTATTCTTGTTGTGAACATGATTTTTCTTTTTATGTTTAAATGGCATAGCTGTTTATAATGCACCTTTCTTTCGGTGTAGATCTTTTAAGGCGCCTGTCCAAATCTCAGAATACAGTATTCTGTGGGCGAATTCAGCTTTTCCTGGCACGCCTCTTCCCTCTGTCTGAGAAATCAGGTAAGAACAGCAATATCTGTTTGTTATCTTTAAGTAACACAGTGTTGGCACCTCAAGAGATGCCCTTTTATCTCAGGCCAACATGTTCTCGGCTCTTTTGATTAGGTGCATGTTCTCTTCTGTCTGTGCTGTTTCCAGGTCTCAACCTACAGAGCCAGTTTAATCTGGACAATATAACTGTATTCAATAAAAATGAACAAGAAAGCACTCTCGGACAGAAGGTAAAGTGTTGACACCTGTTAATGACAGTGAACATTTTGAATAATCTAAAAACCTTTGTGTAATTTAATGCTTCCATGTTTATAGCACACAGAAGAAAAGGAAGATTGTATGGAGGTGGAGGAAGGAGAAATGGGGGAGGATGATGCTCCACTACCCTGGTAAGTTCAAGCCTTACTCTAAAATACACTTTAAAGTTTTTTTTTTATTTTATTTTAATGACACTTTGGTTTGTCCCATCTTTATTTAAATTTCTTAAAACTTCCTTTCAGTTCCATTCCAATTGATTACAACTTGTACAGAAAGTTCTGGACGCTGCAGGACTACTTCAGAAACCCTGTGCAGTGCTATGAAAAATTCTCTTGGATGACATTCCTTAAGGTAATACACCTGACCACAAAAAGCAGATAAAACTTTGGTTCCTTTCTCCCAAATTACCTGATTACAACAAACACCAAAGAAACTTAAAAAGTATCAACTCACTGCCAACGTGACTTCCTTTTTGTCCTACACAGTACTCAGATGAGACCTTGGCAGTATTCAAGAGCTACAAGTTGGATGACATGCAGGCCTCTAAGAGGAAGCTGGAGGAGATGAGAACATCAGGGGGAGAACATGTCTACTTTGCCAAGTTCCTCACAAGTGAAAAGGTGAGGAAACAGTTTTTACTGCAGGAACAATGGGTAGTTGTGTTTTTCAACTTGGAGACTGTTCAAAAGCAGGATGAGACATTCACTTGGTAAATAATAATATTATGTAATAGTCTGGTGATACACTACTTTGTTTTTTTATGTTAAATTGTACTCAGTTTGACAATGTGTGAAACAAGCGTCATTAAAATTAATACAATGTTTTACTTTTTTAACACTGGTTGAATACACTCAGTTGTATTTGCAGCACAAGTATAAAAGGTTGATCTCACACTTGGGGGCGTTGTTCCCTAATGTCCTCTTTATCACCAGCTGATGGACCTACAGCTCAGCGACAGCAACTTCAGGCGGCATATACTACTGCAATACCTCATCCTCTTCCAGTACCTGAAGGGTCAGGTCAAGTTCAAAAGGTGAAGACCAGATTTCACTTTCAGATCAAGCGAACGGTACCCCAGCTGCCATTGGTAGTGGTGCAACGGATCACTGTTGATCCGAGATCCAAACCGATCCCTCTCCACGGTTCGGTACGCACGTGATCCGAAGATTTGAGGAAAAAAGGGTTCCATTGTATTCCATTGTAGCGACGCAAGCGGAGGAGCAGAGTAGATTGAGAAACCTCCTGCCTCACTAAAATCTCACATGTGGGCGCATTTTGGCTTCCCTGTTAAATATATTGATGGGAAAAGGGTGGTGGATAAAACTATCACAGTTTGTCAACTGTGTGCCAGGAAGAAACCATATGAGACTGGCAACACGTCGGGCATGGCTGCTCATTTGAAACGACATCACCCTGGTGTGACAGGAGCCAAGACGAAGGCTGTGCAACAGCCACTCATTACCGCGGCATTTAGGCAGCCCTTTGCTGCCCAGTCCGACCGGGCTAATGCTATTACAAAAGCTACCAGTGTTTTTATAGCTGCAGACATGGGGCCATATTCCGTTGTGCAAAACAAGGGGTTTAAACATATAATAAATGTGCTTGAGCCACGCTATGATATCCCGTCACGCACCCACTTCATTGAAAAGATCGTCCCAAATATGTATGAGCAGGAAAAGTCTGCAGTTATGGCTGAACTGTCCCAGGCATCTTCTGTTGCCCTAACTACAGACGGGTGGACCTCCAGGGCAACGGAAAGCTACGTGACCGTGACCGCTCATTACATCACAGCAGAATGGGCGATACGAAGCCCTGTACTGCAGACACGACCCATCTATGAGAGTCACACACGCACAAATCTGGTGCACGTACTGACAGAAGTAGTGGCAGAGTGGAGGATAGACAGGCCCAATACTAATATCCCAGTTACAACAGATAATGCCAAAAACCAAATAAATGCAGTGAATGAGGCAGGGCTGGGCCCACAGATAGGCTGCTTTGCACATGCAAATAATTTAGCATCCCAAAAGGGAATCACTGTAAGTAAAATGG